CATACAAAAGTAATTAAAAAGAATTGTCAAACCACGCAAATCTCTCTCGCTAAACCACGTGAACGGTGAATTCCATCTTCTCAAAATTCCTCGCCAAGTGTTTCGGACACGTGTCGATATCCCGAAGTTTACGCCCACGTGGACCAATCACGTCAAATATACTGATCGCCTTACTCTCGTCCACTAGTTCTGATAGCTACCCGTTTTAGTGCAGCCGTTGTTTGGATCTCCTCGCCACGTTTCATCCTTTAAAAATTAAATTAATTAAAATATTATTTTATTCCCATTCTGAAGAGAAAACAAAGAAATCAATACATAAAAAAATAAGACGAGTGCTTATTTTGTTGGATTGTTGCCCAGAACCTCCAACAAATCTCATCGGTTTTTGTTTACTGCTAAATAGCTTTGTGCTGTGGATTTCGGAGTGTTGACGAAAACGGGTAAAGAAAACAAAAGAACACGAGAATTTTACGAGGTTCGGCAATGTGCTTACGTCCTCGGTGCCTAGGCGGCGCTAGAATTTTATTCAATGATTTTTTTAGGTCTAGGTTACATCTCTATTTATAATAGAAAACCCTGGTACATAATTACAAAATCTCCACCTTGGCGAATATCCTGCCCCTTGGAAACTTCAATGTGGGTTGGGTTACCTTGCTTCTTTAACAACTCGAAACATTCAACAAGTCCAAGCAATGCTTGAACTTGTCTGTCGTAACTGGCTTAGTGAACATATCAGCGGCATTTTCATCAGTATGTACCTTCTGAAACAAAACCTCTCCAGATGCAACCAACTCTCTGATCTTGTGGAACCTTACATCAATATGTTTAGTTCTAGCACGATACACCTGATTCTTAGCCAAATGAATAGCACTTTGATTATCACAAAGCAACTGAACTCCACCTTGTTGAACACCCAACTCCTTCACTAAACCAGTAAGCCATAAAGCTTCTTTTGCAGCTTCAGCCGCTGCCATGTACTCAGCTTCAGTTGTAGATAGGGCCACAATAGATTGAACAGTAGACTTCCAGCAAATAGGCCCTCCACCAAGAGTAAACACATACCCTGTCGTAGATCTTCTATTATCCAAGTCACCTGCATAATCTGAATCCACATATCCTACAACCAAAGGATTATCCCGCTGACTCCCAAAAACAATTCCATGTCCCACAGTACCCTTTAAGTACCGAAAGATCCACTTGACTGCATCCCAATGTTGCTTACCAGGTTTAGACATGTACTTACAAACTTGACTAACAGCATGAGCTAAATCAGGACGAGTACATACCATCGCATACATCAAGCAGCCAACAGCATTAGAATACGGAACCTTTGCCATATTTTCAGCTTCCTTATCTGTCTTAGGGCACTGTTCTGATGAGAGCTTAAAGTGATTCGCCAATGGAGTGCTAACTAGTTTCGCGCTGCTCATCGCAAACCTTTCTATCATTTTCTCAACATAACCCCATTGAGATAGCCGCAGTTTCCTTGAGTCTCTGTCCCTGCAAATTTCCATTCCAAGAATTTTCTTTGCAGCACCTAAATCTTTCATATCAAATTCCTGACTCAATAAAGTTTTCAAACCGATAACATCATCCATGTTCTTCGCAGCAATCACATATCATCAACATACAGTAATAGAAAAATAAAAGAACCATCATCAAGGCTCTTAACATAGACACAACAATCATACTCACATCGGTTGTAGCCAATCTTGATCATATAGGAGTCAAACCGTTTATACCACTGTCTCGGAGACTGTTTTAACCCGTACAAAGATTTCTTCAATCTGCAAACTAAATGCTCGTTTTCAGGTTGAGTGAAACCTTCAGGTTGCCGCATGTAGATCTGCTCCTCTAAATCACCATGCAAAGAAGCAGTTTTAACATCCATCTGCTCTAAATGCAAATCCCAACTAGCCACCAATGCAAGTACTGCTCGGATTGAAGTGTGCCTGACCACAGGAGAAAAGATTTCATCATAATCAACTCCTTTCTGCTGTGAAAAACCCTTCGCTACCAAACGAGCCTTGAACTTCTCCCCATCTTTTTCTGTTACTGCTGGTTTCTTCTTATACACCCATTTGCAACCAATCGGCTTCTTACCCTCAGGAAGGGGAACTAACTCCCATGTGAGATTGTGATTCAAAGACTTCATCTCCTCAACCATGGCTGCCATCCACTTGTCGTTTTCCTGACTAGTAACGGCATCATGAAAAGTAACTGGATCATCATTGCTAACAGTAAGTGCAAAAGATACCAAGTCTTCAAAACCCAATCTGTCCGGAGGCTTTATATTCGTCCGTCTCACCCTGTCTCTGGCGAGACTATAATCCTGCAAATCATCCGTAGTGGAACCACCAGAAGTCGGTTGAGAAGTTTCTGGTTTCTCAACTGGAAACTGCTCGAAATCTACCACTGTCGTGTCTTGCTTCTGCTGCAACATAGATTGTTCATCAAAAACGACATCTCTACTAATCACAACTTTCTTCGCAACTGGATCCCAGAACTTGAATCCTTTGACACCTTTCTTGTAACCCAGAAAAATGCACTCCTTCGATTTTGCATCAAGTTTGGATCTCTCATCAGCAGGTACATGCACATAAGCAGGACAACCAAAAATCCGTAAGTTATCAAAACTAACATCATGACCAGTCCATACCTCTTCTGCAACTTTCCCAGCCAGCGATGCCCTTGGCGATCTGTTGATAAGGTAACACGCCATGTTAACAGCCTCAGCGCAGAACTGTTTGGGAAGCCCCGCATTCAACCGCAAACATCTGGCTCTTTCATTCAACGACATGTTCATTCGTTCCGCAACACCATTCTGTTGTGGTGTCTTGCGCACTGTAAAATGCCTCTGAATCCCATGCTCCTTACAGAATTGTAGGAACTGTGAATCTGTGTACTCTGTACCATTGTCAGACCGCAAACACTTGATTTTTCGTCCTGTTTGGTTTTCTACCTCAGCTTTCCACAGCTTGAACTTCTCAAAAACTTCAGATTTCTGTTTCAAAAAATACACCCAAACTTTCCGTGAAAAATCATCAATAAAAGTAACATAGTACCTAGATCCACCCAAAGACGATGTCGTGGAAGGCCCCCATACATCAGAATGCACATAATCAAGAATCCCTTGAGTTGTGTGCTTCGCAGTCTTGAAACGGACTTTAGTCTGTTTACCAAGAACACAATACTTGCAAAAGTCGAGCTTACAGCTTTTGACACCATGCAACAAGTTTCTCTTGTGTAATTCTGCCATACCACGTTCACTAAGATGAGCAAGGCGCATATGCCACAATTTTGTCGTATCATCACAGGACTCAACAGAGTGAACTCCACCTGCAACGGTACTCCCTAACAATCTGTAGATATTCCCTGCAGTCATCTTGCCTTTCATCACAGTCAATGCTCCTTTAACAATCCGAATGGTTTCCCTATCCTCGTCAGCCTTAGGGATAAAACCATTCTTGTGCAAAGTGCCCAAGGAAATCAAATTCTTCTTCAAGTCTGGGATATGTCGAACACCACTCAACGTCCGAACGGAGCCATCGTGCATCTTAATTCTGACATCACCAATACCAACAATATTGCAACATCGGTCATCACCCAAATAAACCGAACCAGAATTAACCGGCCTGTATGTCAAAAACCATTCCCTATTTGGCGTGATGTGATAAGAACATCCAGAATCAAGAATCCAAGCATCTGTCAATTGTGTCGTTGAAATAGAAAGCATATCACCCTCACTGCAATCAGAAGTATCATCCTCGACCACGTTCACAGACTTGGATGAGCCATCACGCTTCTCATCAGTCTGCTTTTTCAACTTCGGACAGTCTCGCTTCATATGTCCCGCCTCCTTGCACTTGTAACAGTGAATCGTCTTCTTATCCCTGGATTTGGATCTGGAATTCCGCTTCCCGGACCCTGCCTTCTCTGGCTTCCGTCCACGATCTCGATTACCCTTGACATATAAGCTATCGGCTTGAGAGCTTTCCCCTGCATTCTGCTTCCGCTGGTTGTGAGCCAACAAGGCTGCAGTAATCTCCTCAACATTGATAGTCTCTTTCCCATATGTAAGAGTAGTCACCATGTGTTCGTAAGAGTGAGGCAACGAACACAACAGAATCATCGCTCTGTCTTCATCCTCAATTTTCACATCAAGCCGAGCCAGATCAGAAACGATTTGATTGAAGACATTCACGTGTTGCGCCAAATCGTGACCGTCCTGCATCTTCAGCCCATACAACCGCTGCTTCAGATACAGTTTTGTCGTTAAGGATTTGGACATAAACTGACTTTCCAACTTCCTCCAAATTTCGTCTGGAGACGATAGATGCATGACGTGATACATGACCTCGTCCGCCAAGCATAATCGTATGGTTCCTGCCGCTCGCTGCTGCAATTCTTCCCAATCTTCCTCATCCATCGACGCCGGCTTTGTAGGTCGCAAAGCCTTCAAGATCCCTTGCTGCGCCAATAGATCCTTCACCCTCGTTTGCCATAATCCGAAGTTACCCTGACCATCGAATTTCGCGACTTCGAATTTTGCTCCTGACATCTGATACCAATTGTTGACGAAAACGGGTAAAGAAAACGAAAGAACACGAGAATTTTACGAGGTTCGGCAATGTGCTTACGTCCTCGGTGCCTAGGCGGCGCTAGAATTTTATTCAATGATTTTTTTAGGTCTAGGTTACATCTCTATTTATAATAGAAAACCCTGGTACATAATTACAAAATCAACCCTGTATCGTACCGCGGGGGCTGCGCCCCGCACCCCCAACCCACATAATTTGTAACCCCACAACGAGACTTTCTTTGTAAGGACAGTTGATGTTCGCTGCGTTCGCTTCGCTCACTCCGCTCCATCTCCTGTCCTCTTTACTGGTATATTTATGAGCCATACCTAACACGGAGCCTTCCTTTTACAGTGAAGTTTTACCTTTGTTGTGGAAATAATCTCTTCTTTTTTTGGAGTATTTGATTTTCAGGTGAAAATTATCAGTTTCAGACGAGACTTTGTTCGGAGATCGTTTCTGTTTTATTTATTTTTTTTCTTTGAAACTTATTGTTTTAATTGATTTGTTTAGATTTGGATTTCTTTTAGATATATGTTTTTGTGTGGTTGCCGAGAAAATGCAAGAAATGAACCGGAATTTAATATTTTTAACTAGAAGTTAAGGTAAGTAAACTGACACTTATCGCGCTTACAATTTTTATTACTTTTTTGTGTTAATTAAATTAGAATTTTTATTTTTCTCAATTCTTCTGCGGTTTGGTTGTTGAGGAAAAATATATTGTTGCTAGAATAGATTTGCACATGAAAAATAATTAATTTGAAGATGCTAGATTATTATATATTCAATGCTATAAGAGTTGCAGATTAAAATAATTTAATTTTTGTTTGATTTGTCTTCACAGCCTTTAGATTTTAAACTTAATTATGGTTCAAAAATTTGAGCTGGTTTAATTCTTTCAAGGGCTTTCCTGATCTGTTATAATTACTCTGTTTCTGTGTGGGAAAGCTAAACCAGACATAAATGTCTGCCACAAACATGAAAGCAGATCAAAACATTGGATTTGTGTTAAGTGGTGGAGAAGGATCTTGGAGGAATGTCTGAATTGTGCCTGTTTGAGGTATGTTTCTCGGTTTTTTTAGTGAGTTTATTCAGTTTACTTTCATGTTCTAGTTGTGTGGTGCCACTGTGTCAATAAAGCTTTTTGTGGGATGCAATCATTTCAACTTCTTGATTCAACTTGAGATTTGGTTTTACTTTCAGTTGCTCGCTGGAACTAGATTTCACAGGTCAATAGAACTTATAAGTTGTTTAGTGTGGAATAGAGCCTCTCTTGTTATGATAGTAGTGGAAGTATTTATTGAAAAATCAAGGGTGTGATGAATTTATCATGGAAAAGAAAGAATCTCAAGTACTTTGAAGCTTTCCTTTATTTGACGGTTTTCTGTTGCCTTTTGACTTTGTTTGTGCATTGGTATTTTAGGGTTCATTTTGCTCAGTGTGTTTTTGGAGCAGGCTAGATTTAATTTCTAGTTTGATATTTGTATTCTGTCAATAATGAAGTGGGTATTTTCTTTGTTTATGTGATAAGCACCCATCAATGATTTCACCCCTAAATGGTTTAATTGGTTTAGTTTACGGTGTTTTTCAAGGATTGAACCTATGCTTGTTAGCTGGAGATTAATATAATTTTACCAAATAACAATAGCTTTATACTAATTTCTTCTTGTCAGAGTGTTGTTTCAGATAAGATTTTATTCACTTCAAGGACTAGATTTGCTAATATTTAAATTTTGTATAATACCAATTTTTGGTGCAATAAAGCCATTATCTAGTTCAATGGGATTAACCTTGGGTTGAAGTGTGCTAGTGCACGGGCTTAAGCAGAATGCAACTGTTTTGCCAAAAATTACTTGGGAGTAGAATAAATCTGATTTGCTCGTAATTGGATGGCTTCACATTTCATTTTCAGATTTTCCTTGAGACTCCTTTGTAATCTTAATTTATTTGGTTGCCTTACCATTTTATGGAATATTTGATACATAGTTTCAAAATTATCGAATTTCATATTCTCATTTTAATTTCCTTTGATGAAGAATCACTGATTGATCTAAACTTGAGCAATTCATGTTACAGCTTGTAGATAATCTTTGGGAAGAATTTGGTGCTGGTGATGATCATATAGTGCCACATACTGTTGAATATGGTGCTCAATTCAAAGCTCATGGCGATAGTTGAAAAAAACCACGACATGAAGTGATTGAAGCTACTAGGAATGCTGAGGATATGACTACCTATAGTATTTTGGGGGATAAGGAAAAAGGTTTACATACGTTGACCAGAAACAGAATGATAGAGAAGGGTCTATGGTCTCACAGTCCTGATGGTATGTTTTCCACTTCAGGTGATAATGAATCACTCAAAGAAGTATGTTCAAGTATGTCCAACTATGGTCTAAAAACTGGCAATACGGATTTAGTTGGCAGTGAAGTTTGTGCTGATGATTCTATCATGTGTGACAAATGTGCAACAGAGGACAATAATGTTTACTATTTTCCACTAAATTACATGATGGAAGCTGATGACGATATCAGCTTTTTTAATACTCATCATGAAGACAAAGAAAACAGTGATCTTTTTTATTATGGCTGGGGAGACATTGGCAATTTTGATGATGTTGACAGGATGTTCAGGTAGTTTATACAATCATTTTATTCATTATTATTCATTTTATGCTTTGCTATGTAAAATCCAACATGTAGCTTGAGTAAGACCTCTCCATGTGGGTATCTACAATTTTTCATCTGTAGGTATCCATGTATATGTACCTGCACCTTGTATGTTTGCGCATTATGTTTACAGAGTACTATTAATATTTATCATTTCTTATTTTTCTGGCAGAAGTTGTGATTCGACATTTGGGTTGGGGAGTCTCAGTAATGAAGATGATTTCTGCTGGTTTTCATCTTCACAAGTGACTGAAGGATCTCAAGATGCATTTAAGGCTGATGCTAAACTCAATGGTATACCACAGCATTGTGCAAGTTCTAGACCAGACAATGAAGTTTCTTCAACTATTGATTCCAGCAAGAAAAGTGTACACCCAAGTGACAAAATAGATTCCAGTAATATGAAAGGTGATAACTCTGGTTTTGCTCACTTGTCATATTTAAATGTATCCAATGAAGAATCTGCAAGTAAGGATGAGTTGACTCCCAAGGAGCAGGTTAGTAAAATGCTTCTTGTTTCTTAAAGTTACCTCTATCTATTGATTATGTGTGTGTGTGTGCGTCTTAATTTTTACGCCTAGAACTTGTTTGTCCCCAAAAACTTCACACACTTTTTGTTTCTGAATATAAATTTCATGCTACAACTAATTAATATGAAAAGTAGATTGTGGGACTGTAAATGCAGCCAGCTTATTATTACCATGATTTACATAGATTTCCAATTTAGAGTTGGATAATGATCAACATGTTTTACTCATTAGCTGGTTTCAGAAGAAGATTCTTCTCTTAAGTTTTTCTTGTAATGTTGTTCCCATGTTGAATTTATTGCCAAATTACAGATAAGTCCACCAAAAAAGCAGGTGAAGCAACTGAGTGCATCAGGAGAAAGAAAAGATAAACATCTGAAAAATGGTAGTTCCTTTCACGAATATGGTAACATCAAGCAGTCTACATATGTGAAGAACACCTTTTCTGAGTTGTGCTGTCAATTCTTTTCTCCATCAGGCCTTCAGCAGCACAAACAGAGTGTTGGACCTGATTCTCTGAGTTACGCACGGACAAATATTCCATATATGCATCTCAACGACTTCAGTCCTTTGGATCATATTTTAGAATGTCCAACTCTATCTAGTACCAAATCTGAAAATAATGGTAACCCTTCTTCAACAAACGAGCCATCTTATGCTTCAGATCAGGTGCAGTCTATAGAGAGCTTTACTGGGCCATCATTTGGGGCTTCTGACATTACAATGAATGAGAAGAACGGAAATCTACATTACCCACAAGATACACAAGCCCCACTCAAAAGGAATGTCAAACCTGCAAAAGTGGGCAGTAAAATGGCATTTTATGATCCAGTTACTGTTCAAGAGCAGGTCCATCAATCTGAACAAGATGGTCATAGTGAAGTTCAAGGAGCTAGTGTAGGAAAGCCAGAAGAATTAGATTCTTCAAATGATCAGCTAAGCTCTTGTACGAGTTCTGTATTGGATGAAGTCTCACTAGAAGCATCTGGTTTTTGGATGCTTCAACAGGTCATGGAAAAGGTATAATAGATGGAAAGATTTTGTGATGTGAATGTTCATTTTGGTAATCAATAAACATGGTAATTGACCAAATTAAACTTCTTGGATTTTCAGTTGGACATCAGGACAAAACTGTGCATATGGGATAGTCTCTATCGGTTGGCTAGGAGTGCTGAACAAAGGCATAATTGCACAGATATGAAAGGAGACATCAAAGATGAAAAATATGTAGTTGATTCATTTGTAGCCAAAGAACCTAACAAGTACGTGTTCGTTTGTTGAGCATGAATTTCTTTTTACATTGCACTTTTGCTCAAGTTTGACCATTGAATGGTGATACATAGGGTACATACTGAATTAATGCTGGGGTAGAATATCTGTATCAATCAATCTTTGTTTGTTGAACATGAATTTCTTTGTACATTTGCACTTTTGCTAAATTTAGATCATTGAATGGTGATACATAGGGTACAGACTGAATTAATGATGGGGTAGAATATTTGTATCATTCAATCTTGGTTTCCTAGATGTTAGTGGCAATCCAGCTAGATGTCAGGGACAATCCAGCTAGCTTGTGCCAAAATCAGTATATTAATAAGGCACTCATTATTTTGAACTTTGAATTTTAGACCTATGTTACCTCGACCTAGAAGCGAGTATACTTAATTTTGTCTTGGATATGTGTGGTATAGATTCTTTATACAAGTATTTCAATAAAGATGGAAGTCATTGAATAGCTAAAGACCTCTAGTTTAAAAAAGCAGCCATGTGAGTTATGAACTTATCTATTAGAAAAGAAGCCATGTGAGTTATGAGCTTATCTATTAGAGAAGTGGCCATGTGAGTTATGAGCTTATCTATTAGAGAAGTGGCCATGTGAGTTATGAACCTATCTATTGGAATAGAATTTAATATCAGTCTGTAATATTGAGAATGTTGATTAAGCTCTCCGTTGCCTACAATCCTCCTTTTTGCTACTAGTTTAGTGAAGAAAGAAAGTAATAGAGATGAATGCGGCAATTCCCCCTTTGGTTGTTCTAGACTATTAGACTTGGTGTTACAAATGGAGTGTGATACTTGCTATTCTAAACTATATACTTGTTACATCTCGAGTGTCATGTGCGTAGTTATGTGTTGTATTTCAATCAGTTGTATTTCTTGTAATCATAAATAGTGGGACTTTTCAGATACATTGGATTAATGGATGTGGAAACTGGCACAAACCCTATAGATAGATCCATAGCACACCTACTATTTCACAGGCCTTCAGTCAATACTAAGTCTCACGGAATGGTAAGTCGTCGTTCTTTATGTTGATCTTAAAGAAACTTGATGTTTGATAGCCTCAAAAGCCTTGTTGAATGGCAGATTCATGGATCCATAATGTGATTGCTGGGAATGCATTTGGGGAAGAAGAACCTGATGCGGGTTCGTGTTGGACATGGGTAACTATGAATTCGTTAATATCAGTGTTAACTCCTTGTAAAATATATAAGTTTTACTTGTATTGTCAATCCTTTGTAAATTGATTTATCACCAATACGTCAAAGGCTATTTTCTTTTTCATGCTATATTTTAGCATATTCCAAAATTATCAAAGCACCAGTGGTTAGATTGGTTTGATTGAAAATAACTAGTACGGCGGTGGTTGGATTGGGTCATTTTCTAGAAAATATCCACAATTCCATTAATCAGTTAATGGTGGGCGATTAAAATGAAGTTAAAATGTAACATTAAATATGATTTTGAAGAAAAATATAATAGTTAAGTAACCAAAATAGAATAAAAGTGATAGATATTAAATGTGCAGTTCACCCTATAATTCCCATCAATTAAGCAACATAAAGTGCTACTTGATGTGATTCAATGAAATATTAAGGGTTAAAAATAGGCAAAATGGTCCAGATAATGTGGTTGGGAATATTTTTTCCAGAATAATGTGGTTCCCCGATTATTTCCTCATCTATGGTGATTTCTACAGTACAAGGTCAAAGACTCTAGAAAATATCGGCGTCTTCAGGTAAAAGTAAAGGATACGGGATTGCTTAGAGCCTTCAGGCAAGTTGGCCATGCAAAAGACCCCGTGATTACTCAGTGTCTTCAGTGTAGGGTGGTAGGTTGCCTCCGATTGGGAAATATGTAAGTAATAATGAAAAATATTAATTATTCATTAATAACCAGGTAGGTTGGAGATTGGTGGTTGAACAGAAAATTGTAATAAATATTCGGGATGTTATAAAATGGGGTGTTTTGGTTGAGAATTAGAGAGTAAAGTAGTGGTGAGGAAAGGAGAGAAGAGGCAAAATCTGGAGAAGAATTGAAAGAAATTTTCATCAAATCTATAATCTGTAAGTATTATTTGAATAAAATTTTATTCTTATTCGAATAAAATATCTTTATTTCGGAAAGGTTATTAAAATATTATTTTTAATATGTTGTTGCAGGTAAAAAAGAAATGAGTAAGAAATTCAAAAATGTTTTTTTATAACATCAACTTGTCGGAAGATACTCCCAAATAAGTGTAAAAATATATTATTTAAAGTAATTTCTGATTTATTGTTAGTTACATATTGACTTAATAAATATCAGTTTACGATTTATTTTTATGTAAATATCATTATTATAATTTTAACATTATTGATTTAGTATTTGTAGTAGAAATGTTAAGATAATTAGATGAACATATTTGATTTAGTATTTGTAGTAGAAAAATAATATTTATTATAATGACGAAAAATAATATTTATTATAATGACAAAAAATAATGATACCATTAATAACCCGGGTAGGTTGGTGGTTATTAATTAACCATTAATAATCCCGGTAGGTTGGTGGTTATTAATTATTCATTAATAATCCGGGTAGGTTGGTGGTTGAACGGGAAAATATAATGAATTAGAGAGTAATAAATTCGAAGTACTAATAAGTATTTATAAAAAATATCAAGTAATAAATTTAATCATTATTATAATGTAATCATAGTATTTAATCCGAACATATTTTGATTTATTATTTGTAGTAGAAATTTTTTTATTATAATGAAGAAAAATAATATTTACTATAATGAAAAAAAATAATGGCACCAGTAATTATCCATTAATAACCCGGGTAGGTTGGTTGTTGGTGGTTATTAATTATCCATTAATAACCAGGGTAGGTTGATGGTTGGTGGTTGAACGGGAAAATATAATGAATTAGAGAGTAATAAATTTGAAGTAATAATAAGCAATTATAAAAAATATGAAGTAATAAATTTAATCATTATTATAATGTAATCATACTATTTAATCCGAACATATTTGATTTAGTATTTGTACTAAAATTTTATTATAATATTTATTATAATGACGAAGAATAATATTTATTATAATGACAAAAAATAATAGCACCTTTAATTATTCATTAATAATCCGTGTAGGTTTGTGGTTGGTATTAATTAACCATTAATAACCAGGATAGGTTGGTGGTTAAACAGGAAAGTATAATGAATTAGAGAGTAATAAATTTGAAATAATAATTAGTTATAAAAAATTCGAAGTAATAAATTTAATATTTAGGATAATGTAATCATAGTATTTAAGCATTATTTTTTTTAAAATATTGTTAATATATTTACATTTTTTAAAAATTTAATAATATTTATTATAATTTTGTAAATAATTTACTTTCATTATAATCATAAATTTAATTTATCGCCATTACTATAATTTATTTTAATTTATTCTGAATATCTATATTTTTAAATGTAGAGAAAATGAGTAACAAGTTTTTCATGATTGTCCATTACAATGGACAGATTATGGAAAATGAGGTCGGAGTTATTTTTTAGTCTGAAATACCTATAAATATGATGTTTAAAAAGGGACATCACTTTTGTAGAAATGAATGAGAGGATAGAAAGGAAAATCCGAGCTATAATTGATGGTTCGAGGTACAGGTTTATAGTATGTCTCAATCCAGTCAGATATGCTGCAATACCACTTCAAGAAGATGATGATATTATAACTATGATTGAATTACATGACTCAACAAATATTCCAATTATTGAGTTATTTGTTGAGGTGTGTAATATATCTGATGTGCTTGGAACATCAAGAAATACGGTTGGAACTTCATCTCAAATGGTTTTTGAAAGTCAGATTGATAACCTGACATATAGGTCGATAAATAGCTTTGTGGCGATGTTGAAAAGTGAAAATGAAGTCGGTGGAACATCTGGAGCCGCAGAGTATGACGTTGAAAGCCGCTGAGAAGAAATACTTGATGATTCCAGTGAAGATAAAGAAACTGAGGAATCCCTTTTGGCTGAGGATGACGATATGTTCAATGGTGATGAACCTGATATCAATATTGATGATTATCCGACATCGTATCAACCTAACCCTCACATGCACGAGATAGATTATGATGAGATGAGGGCACTTGAATTCTCGGAGATGTCAAATTTAACTTCAGGCTAAATGATTGAATCGTCCGAAAACTCTGGTGAATTATAAGTTGAGAAACAATACAGAGGGAAAAAAGTTACACTAGCGATTAAAGAGTATTGCATAAAAGGCCATGTAGATTTCAAGGTTGCAGAATCCAACCAGAAAACTCTGTACGCGAAATGTGTTAAATATGGGCCCGAGTGTAAGTGGCTGATTAGAGTGTCCAAAATGCAGAGGCAATATGCTTGGGTCATCACAAGGTACAATGGTCCACACACATGTTTGCAAAACTCTATCGAACAAGACCACCGACTACTAGACTCCGATGTAATATGTCAATATGTGAAGGTGTTGGTTGAACAAAATCCAAGGATCCCTTGCTTGGTGTTAGTTGCATCTATTCGAGACCAGTTCAGATACAATGTAAAATACAAACTCGTTTGGCATGCGAATGAGAAGGCAAGGAGGTTGATATATGGCGATTGGGATACATCATACAATGAGGTACCTGATTTGTTACAAGCTATGAAATAATCCTGGAACCATCGTGAAATCTCAGATCATGCCTGCATACAATCGAAAAGGTCAACTTGTTCAAGGGAAGAGAATATTCCATAGACTCTTATGGGCATTCAAGTCATGCATATAAAGTTTTACATTTTGCAAAGTATGGTCCAAGTAGATGGTACATGGTTATATGGTCAATATAAACATATATTATTGGTAGCAGTTGCACAGGATGGTCAAAGAAATATCTTCCCAATTGCATTCGCCATCATTGAAAGAGAGACGACAGAGGCTTGGGATTTCTTTCTGACTAATCTACGTAAGTATATTGTCCGAGAAGATGGAATTTCCTTGATATCCGATCGAGGAACATGCCTTTTGGTAGCAATTGAAGGACCGAGAAGTCGTTGGACACCTCCGCACGCATATCCCACATATTGTATCCTCTATATTGGTAAGAATTGTATTGAGAAGTTTCATAACGGCCGCATTCGTATGGAGATAGTCAACATGGGTAAGTTTTATTTTCAACATTTGTACCCATTTATGTGTTATAAATTGACGTTAACACAATATATATTATAAAACAGGATATGAACACCAACCAAATTTTTATAAGAGACTGGAGGATTTGAAGGTCACAGATGAGAACATTTGGAAGTAGGCATCGAAAATCGAGTGGGAAAAGTGGTCGCAAGCATGCGATGGTGGTCAGTGATACGGACACATGACAACAAACCTTGTTGAGGCCATTAATTCAGTACTAAAAGGTATACACTATATCCCAATAGCGAGTGTGGTGAAAGAGACATACTTTAAGTTGGCTAAAGTTTGGTCTCATAAAGGGAAAGCAATCGAGTGTATGGTAAATCGAGGTAAAATCTGGGCTCCGACAGTGGTAAAAGCAATGGAAGTAAATGAGCGATTAGCAACTCAATGTTTTTCATGACTTCGATCGAATTGTACATATTTTTATTGTCATCACATGCATACGTCGCAATGAATGAGAGGAGCGAGAAATATTTACAGTTAATTTCTGACAAAGATGGTGTGATTGTGACCGCTTTCAGGCGTGGAGATATTTGTGTGCTCATACAATCGTTGCATGTATGTATACTGGAATAATTCATACACTTATGTTGATGAGTGCTTTCACCTACAGATGATATTAAATATATACAGCCATGAGTTCAGAACAATCCCAAATGAATCATATTGGCTGGAACAACATCATGATGAATAGTTGCCAAATCCACTGCTTCGTAAAAGTACAATGGGTCAACCTGAGTCTACTTGTATTCATACCAGTATGGATATCCATATTAGAGATAAATGTCAACCGAAGATATGTGGATTATGTAAAGGTGAATGTCATTCGAAAAGAAATTATCCAAACCTTCCATGGAACATGCCTCACTAGTAATCTTATTTCTATTTTAACGAATAATTGAATTTCTTGCCTATTTGTATTTCAATGAATGTTTAAGTTTTATATATTTTTTTGCATTAATATTATGAATATTTTTTGACGCTATATTTTAATGAATGTTATTAATATCAATAGTTGCATTAATGTGATTAATATCAATATTTGAATTAATATGATTGATATTTGTTGACGCTATATTT